ATATATACTAGTGTATACTTGTATTTTTGCTTTAGTTTTTTATGCAATAATCATTAGTCTTGGCAGTCGATTTCAGCAAAACGTACGTATACCCATTAGCATATAAGTTTAKAAAACGTGGTTGAACTAGGGTGTCGGAGGTGCCCCGGGGCATGCTCTCTAGTTTAGGCTTTTGCACCCTGGTGGTATGTGTGAGAACCGTGGAGTGCGTGGGTGGGTATGTATGGTTTTTCTTAAAATGGGTTAAAATATGGGTAATAGGTAGGCAGGTAGCATACTTCTCTGAATGAATGTGAAAATTTTAATTTTAAGTAGGTAGGATCCAGGAAAGGCATTAGACTTCCTTCTTCCACTCCGGAGTGGTAATTCTGCCTCCTGGTTTATACAGAATTGTTACAAAATATTTGATCATCTCGTTCTATTATGCTTGATTTGTTAATGTATATTTTGTAACTATTTTGTGATCATTATCATGTATCATGATTCAAAGGTATTTGCAACTATTTGAAAGATTCATTTCAACTTCGATTTTATCTCACACGAGATACAGTCGAATCAAATTCGCAAATTCTTTGATGCATTTGATACTTAGTTTTAAGTATTTCAGCATTAGCACTACGCACTATCGCGATTTCGTCTTACAGCCAGAAATATTTTATATAATTAAATATAACGAATTAATGAAATGAAGGTATTGCAAAAAAATTTATTACATTTATTGCACTATTTATTTCAATTCAATTTTATTACTCGACGTTAAAAGTGCGAAGTGTTATTAGGTCATCGAGGGAAATCATTATCTGCTTGGACATTCGAATAAATATTCTCGTGTATGGTCAATAAACTCAAAGTTCATTGATGATCCACGAGAAATGTTAATTAGAAAAATACAAGTTCATTTGCAAAATTAGTATGAAAGATCTTATCTTGCTCGCACGTAGGAAATGTCCAAATGCAGTTTTCATGGAATGAAGAAAGAAGAGGCTTAATGCCGAAGAGGCCCCCACTTAATTGTGGCTCAAGAGGGCAACTACTGAGGCTATTGAGTTATTTTCAAAGGTTCAACAGCATGTTCGTACCTTTAGAGAATGGCTCTCTAGTCATATTTTATATTTTATTTTTTTAYTTTTTTGCTCGTCATTAATTTTTAGTTGTAATTGGAGATGATGGACCATTCCATCTCCTTGGGACACCAAATTCGTATCTAATCGTCAAAAAGATGCATATTTGTTTAGTTAGTTAGAGTCATAAATATTAAAATTTCCGTATTATTAAATTTTGGAGTTTAATTAACTGTTTGTAAATGTTACAGTAATTTCTTTTATCTTGTTTTTTCTTTAATATTTTTCACTGTGATCATATTTTTGTAAATTTGTAATTTTTTCTTTTCTATATAATATAGTTTAAAAGTATTAGTCATAATAATTAATGKATATTATTTTCTCTAGTAACTTAATATTTGTTTTTTTTACTTTTTTTATTTGTTTTTTATTTTTTGTAAAGTTAAAATCACGCGTTTAAAAATACATATTTGATGAAAATAAATAAAGAATTTTCTTAAAAAGTGCATCTGCAAATTCGACGATTTATATGTTAGGCAATTACTGTATCACTTGATTCTATAATTAATATAGTTTTCTTTTTGTTTCAGGTGATCTTCGTTGGATTTAACAATAAACCCTTTTGATTCTCCTCTATTTGATATATGTATAAATGCATTTCTGAAGGCACACATATAAACAATAAATATTAAATATTAATATTTACAAGTCCATAATAAATGTAACATTGAATATTTGCACAGGCTTACAAAAGATTTTAAATATGATTGTTAATAATATGTTTAATTGATTAACATATCTGTTTCAGATTTAAGACTTCAATGAATCTACTGTTTTTATTTTTTTTATTTTTATAATATTTATGACACGCATTTTAAAAGGATGTGATTTAATTTTGCTGTTTTCTATGATACGAGAAAAAGATGTAGGTTTTTCGAAAAATCATTGATTCGAAACTTTTTGAGAAAAGGGGTGAACGAAAAAATTAAGTAACGTAATCTTTCAACTAGCTGCAACTCCAGAATTGTAGTTACCAAATATCTGTACAAATTCTTAGTTATAGCTACTGTTATAAGAATAAARTCTATAGAGTTTCAATTTTTTGGAATAATTACTTTGTAGTTTCAATAAATAATTGATTATTCACGTCTTATTTAGTAGAAAAACTTGCATCGTTGCGCAGTATATCTTAAAATTTAAATAAAGATTTGAAACTTGCGATCTTTTTTTTATTTTTTTTTTTATAACTGTTAGGGGCCTCTGGGATCATAAAAATTCATAAATACTTAATATATGAAACGATTCTAATATGATCGTTAATTATCCGTTCAATTTGAAAGTATGATTGTGCAGTTAATTGAATATTTATAAAATATAATAGTTCAATGAAATTATTTCTTTTTGTTTATTTGTAATCTCGAGTATAATTTTCATTATATTATTTAATTGTCTTCCGTAATGTGGTATAATTCTTTTCTTTTAAGATTAACATAATTTGTAAATTTTAATGTTGCAATAATTCTATTGTCATGCGAAACTAGTACAAATTCAATTATCTCGTTAGGAAATCTCTAAGCATCTTGGATTAGATATTCTCGATGAGTAATCATTGATTTTTAATGTATTCTAAAAATAGTTTCCTATTTGTCAAGAATTAATTAAGTGGTATATGTAATGTAGAAACAAATTTATTTTATATACATATAATACCTTGTGATGATAGTAAAAATAATCTATATAGAATTGTAAGAAAATTTTACACGATACTTTTTTTTTATTAATTCCTTCACTTTATAATTAATTTATAATAATATATTTCTACAGTAATAAAATAATTATTTTTTCACAATGATTTATAAAATATTTTTATAATTTGTGACGTATTCTTATATATATATGCAATCTAAAATTAATATCAATATCAATTTAATGTATTATAAAAATTTCTTTATAAAAATACTTGTAAAAAAAAAAAAGGGAAAAGTACAAACCGTTAAGCAAAATACTTTTTAAATGAAAAATATTTCAAAAGCTTAAATCTATTTTGTTTTTTGAGTTTTTTTATTATCCTGTTGAGGAATCGCAGTTGCTTTTTTATCATCTTTCTTTGATAATTTTTCAACTTTGGCAACAAAATCGTATATATCATTTGCAAGTAAAAGAGGTTCTTCCATAGCTGCGAAATGACCACCTCCTGGCATATGGTTCACTTGAATTAAATTCAAATATCTACTTTTAAGTAGTTTTTCTGGTACATACATCAATTCGTGTGGAAATAAGGCACAAGCTGTTGGTACATCAATGGGCATACTAGAAAATAATAATATAAATATAAATGATTATTTTAGTAATTTAGTAATTTTAGTGATTTTAGTTATTATTTTAGTAATTTACATTATTAAATAATTATATAATAAATATATATATATATATAAATATAAATAAAAATATATATTATTAAAATAAATTATATAAAAATATATTATATAAAAATATATTATATAGAATAATTATTAAATTATAAATCTAAATATACATGTTTTTCTTTTACACAATTATCATTTAATTTGAAATGAAATATTATTTCTCTATGATTTTATATAAAAAAGAAAACTTACTCATCGATTTGTAAATCTCTATTTTTGTGGGTATTTGCTTCAGCATAAAGACGTGCACTAGACGTTATAGAATCGGTCACCCAGTATACCATAATATTATCCAAAAGCTCATCCAAAGTAAATTTCTCAAGTAGACCACCGTCCTTTCTAGTTTTATATTCTTTATTTGTCCATGTACTGAATTTTTCGAGTATGTATCCTGCCAAGGACACTGGTGAATTCATCAATGCCAAACCTATAACAAAAAAGAAATTAATTGTTTTTTTTTGTTTTTTTTTTTTTAAATAAAATAAATGTTTTCGTTTTTTCCAATTTGATTTTAAATGTTTTTAAAATAATATTTACCAATCGTATCTGGCTTAGTAGCTTGTAAATGAAAATATCCACTTTCTTCCAATATAAAAAAGAATTTATCTTTCATCGGATAAATTCTATTTTCGTATTTCTTATCAACGACAAGTGAGGGGAAATATGTTCCAATGATATACCAAAAGTTGTTGAATAATTTACTCGTACACATGTTCGAATGTAGTCCAAAAATTCTGCGTTAAAATATACATATATATATATCACACAGATACTTTTTATTATAAAAAAAAGAAGATAAATAATAAAAATAAAAATATATGATTACTTTTCTGGATAAAGAACAGCCATTGAAGATGTAATAATAGCACCCCAGTCACCTCCTTGGATATAATATTTTTCAAAACCAAGCCTCGTCATGAGATTTTTAAAAATAATACCGATCTAAATAACAAGTATTATTTAAATTAATAATAAAACATAATTGTGTAATAATTAATAATATTAAATATATAAATATTAAATAAATATCATATTAATATTATATATTAATAGTTTAATTTAATTTATAATAATTTAATTTAATAATTAATATTGCTAATAATAAATATTTAATATTATATATAATATTAAATATATATATATAATAATTAGAATAATTAAAAATAAAATCAATCCAGATAAGATTGTTAAAATATTAATATAAAAACATTGAAATAATAAATAATAAATGTTTATATACATGGGCTGGTGATAATCCAGGTCGTACAGCAGCATCACTGAAACCATATCCAGGTAAAGATGGTGCAATTACTTCAAAAACGAAATCCCTGTCTTGTTTGGGTGTGGTCAATAATGGAATAATCTTTTGGAATTCTACCACTGAACCAGGCCAACCATGTACCATAAGAAGCGGTATAACTTTGATTTTCTTATTTTTTGGTAAATTCGACGGTTTTACGTGATAAAAGTGGATGTTGAGACCTAAATAAAAAGAAGATAAAATATATTATAGTAAAAAAATTGATATATTTTGAATAAAAAATGGTATGAAAGACTCTTCAATAGATTTAGGTTTATGGTAAGATAAACTAAGTACTAACTAGTAACTAGAAGTGAACTAACGGGAATGAAAGATAATAAAACACACTTGTATATATTCAATAGTCTTGTAACTACTTTCAACAGGGCAAAGACCCTAACTGAACTATTTTAACGATAACAAAAAGTACAATGCAATAAGTTGGATCTTTTTATTGTTAGTTATTTAATCTTATTCTTAGCATTCCAAGGTGATTATCAAATAAGTCTATAATAATAAAAAAAGTAATAATTAATTAAGAAGAATAATTATTAATAATTGTTGTCATAAGTTTACCTTGAATGTTTGTTACAAATTGTGGATATTTGTTAAGAAGAGCTTGTCTCTCGTTCCAATTATATTTATTACGCCAATATTCAATAATATTTTTCAAATATGGCGCTGGTACACCGTAAGTCCATGCAACACCTTCCAATGGTTCGACATTTAATCTTGGATTCTCTAAACGTTTGTTTAAATCATCTAGGACCTTTAATGGATAAAATAAAAAAAATAAAATAAAATTAGTTTTTCTGTCAATAATTTTTTTTTGTAAAAAAGAGAAAACGGAAAATATTGGAATAATTCAAATAATAAACATTTGTCTATTTTTAAAGTTTCAAGTAGTAAACGTGAGTTATCAGTGAACTATTAGACTTTGAATAAATAACTTTGTACAAGTCATTAAATTACATCTTCTTAATTGTTTTACTTACAAACACAATTACATAAAAATATGAATTTTTTGATTTTTTTATGAAACAAGTCTTCGATGTACAATAACACAAATGGTTATTCATAAATGATAATTAATAATTTTTTTTTTTATAATATTACATAATACTAATCCGCTTATTTTGATAGCAATTTAAATTCAATTTTATATCTTTTTTTTTTTCAATAGTTTTTATAACAGTTATTTTTCAAGTGTAGATGTTTTTGCGATCAACAACAATAATATTAACAACAAAAAATTTTAAAATAGACGTACATAAATAAACCCATTATTAAAATAAATGACATAATTGTACGTTTACTTTTTTGTTGTTTTTTTTTTTTTTAATAAAACATTTTATTTACCGATTGTGGTACGTCTATCTTGAATGGTCGAATTTCTTTCGATGCTCCTTTGTTCTTGTCTGGTCCCCAAAATGTTTCCGGCAAATCTGGTTTCTTCAATTGTTCGGAATTGAATCTTTATTGTAAAAAAAAAAAAAATTAGAAAATAATAATAAAAATCAAAAAAGGAACAATTGTAATTGCTTTTTTTTATTTTTTTATTTTTTTATTTTATTTGTAACATTTAAACAATAGTTGATTATATTATTCGATATACGTATATGATTATTAAAAATAAGATTGTGAATCAAATAAAAAACAAAAAATAAAAAAAAAGTAATAGCATACTTCGACATTAATAATTGTATTGTCGTATTTTCTGCGTCGAGAAATAAAAAATAAGAAAAAAAAAATTAAAACTGCGTTGGCTTGTATTAATATTAATATCATTATTATTATTTTTTTTATTATTATTATCAATTATTATTATCGGTGACAGTTCAATTCTTATTTTAAATTTTCATCGTATATAAAAATTAAATATTAAAATAATAAAATTTACATTGTATTATAGTATAGTTATCTTTTATCTCTAATTAGACAGTTATCTTTTAGACATTGTACTTTATAAAGCAAATAACATACAATGTTATATCATTTCAAATATTAATCACACACTTACATAAGATGATATAAACCAATTGCCAAAACAAGTATAACCGTCGTTGTTTTCCACATCTTACGTTCTGTTATTTACAACGTTCAAGAAGATACTGGGAGATAGTTAGGAGTGTTTTCCGTTAAATACCTGTTGTGCAATATCCTAGATAGAACAGAACGTCAATCACGGACTGTTAGGAAGATAAGAAAGGTTTCTTGATACAATAATTGTTTTCACTTAATAGAACCATGACGTTGTCAAATATTTTCTCCTCAATTATTATTAATCGTACTTACCGACTGTGATTATCGACCGTACTTACTGACTGTGATTATCGACCGTACTTACCGACTGTACTTACCGACTGTGATTACCGACCGTATTCTAGTAAGATTTTACTTTACCGACATTTTATTGGTCGATAACATAATTTTATAGAAATCTGTAAAATTAAAAATAAATAACTATTTAACAAATACCATAGAAAATAAACGATATTTTTCAATTATAGAAAAATTAAAGTTTCAATTATAAATAAAAAATTTCAATAAAATTAAAAAATATATTAAATTATAATATATATTATATATATATAATTACATTATATCCAGGGCCGTGCTAACTCGAATGATGTAAATGGTGTACCCTTATCTGAACGATAAACATTGATTAGCTAAATTTTATTATTTTATTTAATTTTATTTGTCGTTTTTTAATTATCTTAATAAAAGTTAATACGTGTAAGTTTTAAGAATTATATTATTTAATGATGATTGTGATCAAAGTTTCCTCCTGATTATTAATATTTGGGGATTGGGATGCAAAGGTATCGTATAAACAATATCCGAGGATTCAATTAAAACAATAACAAATACATATATATATATTTCTCGAAATGTGACACAGTAGAATTTTTTTCCATTTATGTCCTGCCGGTGGTCGTGGATATTTCGTTATATTTATTTTTTTTTTTTTTATTATTTTTATTTGCACCTTTTTCACACATTTGTCTTCTCTTTTGTCTCGTATTTGTTTTTTTTTATTTTTTTTTTTATTGGATCGGATGGCGATTTATCATCCTCATCATCATCATCATCATCATCATCATCATCATCATCATTATAATCATGATCATTATTATTATGGACGCAGTATATAGTACACATCATCTATATTTCCCTTTCTTTTTTATTTATATTTAACAAAATTCTATTTTTAGAACAAAAAGCGTTTGCTACCACAATTGCTAAATATTCTTTTTTTTACTACTATAATTTATTTACTAACTATATATAGAAGTATATATATATATGTGTGTGTGTATACATATATACTTTTCCTTTTTAATTTTTTTTTTTTTATAATTAATCATTTGCAATAATTACTATCGTCAGATTATGGTGTCTAAAACACCAAAAACTGTGTTATCGTGCGTCTCCTTTTTCTCCTTCCTTCCCTTTCTTCCTTTCTCTCTCACAATTTTTAATGATTTCTTTTTTTTTCTTTTTTTTTTATTAAACAAACCAATTATTTTTAAAATCGAGATCCACCAATACTCAGTTCGTACAATTAAACATTGTTATTGGCAATAAAAAATATCATCGAGATGGCAGTCTTGGATATGTTAACGAAATGACAAAAAGATATTAGAGAGGTTATGTTGTTTTTTTTTTGTTTCTTTCTTCTTCTTTTTCTTATTATTATTATTATTATTAATATTATCATCCTCATCATCATTATTATTATCATCGTTGTTATTATTATAATTATATTATTATTATTATTTTTTTGTTTTGTTTTTTTGTCCATATTTTTTCGTCATCATCATTATTATCATCATTAAAGTTTTGTTATCAAAGTAAATGCTAGCGCGTTAAGTAAAATAGTTAACGGATATTATTATAATGCCGTAAATTGGCATTTATTGTTAGTTTTTTTTTTTTTTTTGATCGATTGCCTAATAACAATGATCAATGTACACACACACATTTACACACGCATGCCCTGCATCAGTGGTTCCCAAACTTTTTTGTCCTACCGCCCCCATTTCCCCCCAAAAAATGATTAATTAGCGCCACCTGGAAATTAATCTTTTTTTTAATTGTAATAGCAATTATATATATATATAACCCTTAGAGTGCTATGGACGCATATATTCGTTTGGTAAGAGTGGTCTATCGATGCATATACGTGTTTGTTAATATTAGGTCATTAAATATGAAATGTCTAATTTCGAGATGAAAATAATCCGAGTAATAATCAGACATTTCATAGTTAATAACCTAATATTATTGTAATATAATGTAATGTTTATATTAATTAATAATAATATTATTAATAATAATATTATATTCAGAAACAAAAATTTTAATGATTAAATATAATTTATTATTAGAATCTGGTTAATAATAAAATTATTCCTAGAAAACATTTTAATTAAAAGTATTCAGCACTCAAAGGGTTAATAGGAAATATATATGTATTAATGTTTTTCCCGCCTTTTTGAATCACTGCAGCATCCACCAGGGTGCGGTGGCGCTCACTTTGCGAATCACTGCCCTACATCAATTTATTTTTCCTTTTTTTTTTTTTTATTTTAATTTTATTATTAATATTACTATTGTTAATATTCTTATTCTCTAAGAATATTAATTTTTAATATTATTATTATTATTATCATTACTAAATTTGTATATATGTTGTTTGCTTTTTTTTTTGTAATTTTTTTTTTGGTATTTTTTTTATCTGAATTACGTCTGTTGTTCTGTCTACAAACGCAAGTTTGTTTGTTATTTATGTTGTTTGATATATTTATAAATATATTATAATTTTTTATAATATAAATATGTTATATTAATTATAATATTAATTATAATATATTTATAATTATATTATAAATTCTTTTTTTTGTTTTTGTTATTTTTTTTCTAAAGCATCATTTATCGAAATCTTATTATACATATGTGGATCTCTCTCTCTCTCTCTCTCTCTCACACACACACACTCTCACACTCTTTCTTTTTTTTTCTTTTAATTTCGCACGCATAAAAAAAAAATATTCAATAAAACAAATTCATTCATATTAAACTACGCGTAGCAACTTTTAAACATTCACATATTTTTGTTTTATTTTTAATTTTTTTTTTTCTTTCTCTTGTTCTAATGAATTCTTTACGTGGTTGTTTTTATTATCATTATTATTATTATTATTATTATTATTATTATTATTATTATTATTATTAATTAGTTAGTATTAATATTAATTATTATTAAATATACGCAAGGCAATCGTAAATTAGCGTCCTCAATCGGATTTCGCATTTATTCGGAAGGATTTTCCTTATTTTTTTTTTTTTTTCATACATTCATTTATTTGTTTCATTCATTCATTCGTTTGTTTGTTTGTACGTTCATTCATTCGTACTTTTATTTTGTTTGTCTCTCGTTTATTAAAAGTATATGCATATTTATATATATATATATGTGTGTGTCGTATAGATAGGTGATAAGTGTTAAGTGTACCTAGACGAATCTTACCCATGGAATTGCATTTTATTATTATTATTACTATTATTATTATTATTATTTTGTTTTGTTTTTTTATGTTTTATTATTTTAAATTTTCATTATCATCGTTTTGTCTTCGTTTTCTTTTCTTTTCTTTTCTTTTCTTTTCTTTTCTTTTCTCTTTGCAAAAAGTCAATTCGTTCATTCGCATTCGTTTTCTCTTTTTTTTTTTTTATTTTTTTTTTTTTTACATTATCGCAAACGAATTTAATTTACATACCTTGTCGCCGTGTAATAATTCGTAATTTAATATTTGCTTTGTTTTGTGTATGTGTGTGTGTTTTTTCTTCTTCTTAATATAAAAGTATTGAAGTGTTTGAGTTTACGAATTAATGTAATGAAAAAAAAAAGGTAAAAACCTTTCTTGATAAAAATAATAATAGAATGATTATTGATTCATCGAATGTGTGAACAAGTTTTTGAAAAGGTTTTGAAAAGGTTTTTTTCCTTTCTTTTTCTTTTTTTTTTCTTATAAGAAAAAGAAGAAGAAAGAGGATGAGATGATGATCGCAATTCAAATTTTCACTCTTTTCTTAAATACATTGTTTTTTTTTGTTTTTTTGGTATGTACGTATATACGTGTAATTAAAAAAAAGGAATAAAACAAATAATACTTATATATGTTTTTACCAATTATAAACATCATCATTTAAATGATTAATCATTTAAAATAATTTAAAATGATTTACGAAATTATTTTAAGAAATCATATTACGAAATTATTTTTTAAAAAGTCATTTTAAGAATCCATTTTTGCAATATTATTTTGCTAAATCATTTTACGAAATCATTTTCAGAAGAAATGATTTTACAAAATAATTTTTTCTAAAATCATTTTAATGAAATCATTTAACGAAGATTTTTCAAACAAATGTTTAATGAGATTAAAAAAATGTTCCTAAATAAAACACATATAATGTATATTTAGTTAATTATGAACAATCGTTTTAAATTCATAATTCAAATATTCTCATGCACACTCGCAATTAATATATTGTTTGTTTGACATAATTACAATCGTACGTAATTTTAATTCAAGTACAGTTGATCCAGTAAAAAAAAAAAAAAAATAGGGAATTATTTAACTTGCAAATCGAATATTGCATAGAGACTTTTTTTGAGGGGATTTTGCACCCTGTTGTTTTGATTTCAATGAATTTTTCATTGAAATTATCGATATCCATACATACATACACACGCATATTTATTTTTATCACTCTCTCTTTCTCTCTCTCGCTCTCTCTCTTTCTTTCGTTTATTTATTTCTTTTTCTGTTAAGATGAAAAAAATATCTACACTTTTTCGACTTAGCATTGCACATAATATATATATATATATATATATATATATATATATATATATATATATATATCCCTCTTTTTTATATTCAGCCAAAAGTCACATTAATTAACATTATTTGTTATAATCTTAATTATTGATCATTAAAGAAATATTTTTTTTTCCAATTTTTCAAAATTAAGTTCCTTTTTCCTGTTGTTACTTTTATTTTTGTAGGTTAAATTATATTTTTTCATTTAATATTTTTTTAAAACAAAAATTTAAAACATTACATTTTTAATGTTTTCCATTAACTCAAATTTCCATTAACTAAATTTTTTTTTTGTTTATGTAGAATAATTGTTAGTAAATTAA